TAAAAAGTAAATTTCTTCAATTATTTGAGGGGCTTGATGATGGACGCTGTAAGGTTAACATGTTTTGAAGCTCGGGAGGAAAATATGTTGCAAATAGGACAAGAAAAAATCAATGCTCATGACCAGTTAGTTGATATTCTTAAACGAAAATGGTGTTAACACCTAATCTATTATCCATGTGATGTAATTATGAAAAATTTGAGCTAGTCTTTTAATGCTATTATTAAACTTTAAAGTGATAAACTCGTAATAACCATATTTGAATAAAGTATAACATATATTATGGTTAAGTTTGCAACACTTACAAAAATAATAAAGGACTATAGAAAAGATGTCATCTCAAAATCCTAAAGGAGACTTAATAGAGAAATGGAAAAGAGTGAAAAGTAGATTTCAACGTATGCCGGTAGATTGCGCTTTCAAGTAACTCGTATTCTTATGACCAATAACTTTGTTGTTGGTTTGGAAAACATACTTGTTGTTGCAACTTTTGAGAATTAATGGGAATAAATTATAGACACATATTTTATATAGTTAATACAAAAATTAGATGGTCTAGTTAAGCATACTAGTGTTAAGAATTTTATTGGTGTTACACCTATTGTTATAAAGCTTGTTGCATCTAAAGCACTAATTAGTGTCAACCTTATTACATTAAATCAACCTATTACAATCAAACCATTTGTAAATGATATTATGATTGCATCATTTTGTGTATGAATGTTTATTTGTTAATGTCTGCATTTTATTTGATTAATGTATGAATCTTTCTTGATTGTAAGGTAAGGGAAATATAACAAAAAGGTAGGAAATCAAGTTAAACCTATATAGAATTACAAATTAAGTACATTCAATAAAAAATGTTATTACTAGTCCAGGAGAAGATGAATTTAATCATATATTAATTGCATAAAGAGAAGAAGATAATGATCCACCTGAACATGAAGTTGATAAAAATGACCCAAGGTTTGAGAGCTGTATGGATTCCATTAGGAAACTGAAGGCATGATCTGAATTTAGTAAATGTCACACACACGGAAGATTTTATGAAGATAAACTTTGACCTATTTTCAATATGTAATTTTAGATATTGAGTGTATTTTTAGATCTTTAACATATTGTATACCTTGGGCTTTGGTACTAACTAGTCTCGAACCTTTTTTGGGGCTTGATGTTCTTATTTACGCGCTAGCTTATGAATATGTTTTAATAACTCGTGCATACAGACAAGTTAGAATTATGATTATATCCCAACTACAAATAATACATTTTATGAAAAAACTTTCACCTCAAAAAATTAAAAACAGAGTTCAAATGCCTTGGTGTGTGACCTTTTAACTTTTTTAATTAAATCTATTCCCTTGATTTTTTGGTTCAACTGACAGAAAATGTCTCTTCGGGTTTGAGTTTCAATTACCAACTCCTGCAACTTTGTGTCTTATTTAAAACCAAAATGGCACCTTTATTTTATTGGTTTAATTGCAACTCTGATCCCTCTATTTTTAGTTTTTTTCTAGTTTTGATCCTCTTATTTTAAAATTCGGGTTTTTGATCCCTCGATTTAGTTTTTTCTCTCCATGATTTTAGTCCTTATTTCAATTTAAGGTCAAATTTTTATGACATGGCAATCAAATTGTTGATGTCTCACTTCCACATTTACAATAATTAATTCCACGTCTTTAGATTTTATATAATTAAAAAATTATATTATGGAAAAAAATTTAAAAATTACGTGGAATTAGATATTACAAATGTATTAGTGACACGTCATCAAATTAATTGTCATTCATTAAAATTTGACCTAAAATTGAAAGGGGACTAAAATTTTGGAAACAATAAATAAGTTGAGGAATCAAAAATCTGGATTTTAAAATAGGGGGATTTCCCTTGTTAGGACCAATCTTAAAGTGGTATGACAACATATGAACACAATAAAAATACAGTCGATTGGTACATATTTTAATATAAGAAGTTTACAACGTGTTTGATTAAATATCAGACTCTATTAGAGAACGAGATCAGACTCTATTAGAGAACAAGCCAGTCTCGTTTTAGATGAAGAAGACAAGATGATAGTGTTCAAAAATTGCATAGTCAATCCAAGGCAGGGTGAATGTGGTACTGGTGAATGTGTGGTAGGTCGAAAAGTAAATTGAAGGTTATAGAAACCATTTGAGGTTGCATAACATATAAGGTCGAAGAAAAAATTAAGTGTAGAAGATATGAAAGATTTGAAGAAAGGAGAAGATGATAGTGTTATAAAATTTAAGATTTTTTTTCTTATGGAAATTTCTTATATCTATCATAGAGGTTTCATGTGGTCATGTCTTAATCATTATCTAGTCTAGCAAAATTTTATTTAAAAAACTCCTGTTATGCATATATATATATATATATATATATATATATATATATATATATATATATATATATATATATATATATATATATATATATATATATATATATATATATATATATATATATATATATATATATATATATATATATATATATATATATATATATATATATATATATATATATATATATATATATATATATATATATATATATATATATTTTGAATAAGGGCAATATATTATTGAAAAAGAAGAAGGAACACAAAAAGAGAGAGAGAGGGGGGGGGGGGGACTAGGTTAAAACCCTCTCAAGAAGAAAAAACCCTAAAAAAAGGAAATCCAAGCCTATTTTTTGAAAAATCACTTCTAATAGCGAAAGGAATTGAGTCATAAAATATTATAGAAGTGAGGGTGCGGCCTATGGAAGCTAAAAAAATATGCACAAAATTTGCCTTCCCTAAAAATGTGTCTAATAACAAAGAACATGTTTACAATAACATCTTTACAACTGAGCCATTTGTTTCTAAGTTTCCATGGTACCAAATATTAATTTAATAAATCTTGGACTACAAATAAATAGTCACTTTTTATCCAGAGCTTTAGCCATGCTCTGTCTCTATCAATTTCAATAGCTCGAAAAGCAGAAGAGAATTTCACATGTAAGGATTTTCTACTGAAAGTATGTATAACAAAAGCAAGAATGAATCTACCTAAATAATCTCTAAAAATACCACCTCTTCCACTAGCTTAAGAGTCAAATTAACCATCATAATTACACTTGAGTCAGTTGGTGAAAGGAGGTAGCCAAATAATTTCAATAATCTCAGGAGACCTAGGAGGGTGGAAGTTGATATTTAAATACTTGAGGAGATTAAAATCTACCATCATAGAAGATGAAAGGAGATATGTATTGTTAGTAGTCATCCTAATTTGAGCCATGATCTGAGAAATGATGATGTGAGCAAGAGGAACTTCTGTGAAGACTATGGATGCCTTGGTGACCAAGGAACCTTGGTGTGACCTACCACTTTTGTTGCATAAATACTAAATATTCATAGTTGATGTTATGTTGATGTAGGAATTTAAGGTTCTGACAAGCCAGTTCCAAATTCGAGAAGCAGAGGGACAATAGAAGAATTTGTGGTCAGAAGTTTTAGAGTTGGCTTTGCAAGTGCTACATGTTGAGGTCATGTTGCTACTTCTATACTAGATTGAATCATCTGTAGGAACCTTACCATGCATTAATCTCTAGACTAGAAAAGATTTAGATTGGGGGATGTCAGAATTCCATATGCTAGTTTCCCAATCAAGCTTGATAGATGCAGTAGACTTAATGATATAAGCTTCTTTGAGTGTTAGGTTGCCATCAGAAGTAAAAGGTCAAATGAGCTTGCCATATTCTTGAACAGTTGGAGTAATATGTTCCATCTTATGGGGTAAGAAGGGAAAGAGGTCCAACCACTTCTTAGGCCAAGGCCAAGTGCCATCAAGAATTAGATTAGAGACATTCACGTCTAGATCAATGTTATTGTCAAGCAAGGTTATAGTGTCAGTGTTAGAAAGCAAATGATATCCACACCATCAATCCTTCCAGAACTTGATTTTTGAGCCATTACTAAGAAGTCATGCAAAATTGGTTTGAATATTGTTGAATTCAGGCTTGATGTTATACAAAATGGTTGAGAATATGTGATTATTGATTGTTCCGTGATTTCTCAAAACTCTTGCTCTAACCAACCTAGCCCAATGTTCATCACTTGTCATCATATCCCACCCAAGCTTTAAGTTTGTTGCATTGTTTAAGGTTATGAAGGACCTTAAACCAAAAACACATTGATCCTTAGGCCAAAAGACTTTTCCATGAGACAATCAATATCTTCCTAGTGTTGACATTTCCACTCCAAATGAAGTTTCTGGTTTCTTACTTTATACATTTCAATAAAGAAGATGGTTAAACATATAAAGAAATATTGTGGTATATACTGTTTTAGATCACTGAGCTGACAAGCAACACGCTAACATCATAGGATAAAGATGATCCTTTCCAAGAAGACAAATAAAGCTTGGAGATAAGATCTCTTGACTCCCCCTTTAAAGATAAGAGCATCCAAATAGTGGAAAAGAAGAGATCCTTTGAAAAAAACCAATTAATTGGACAAAACTGTTGGCTTTTTGAGGTGATATAGAGCCATAGTATAAAGTGGACTTATAGGGTTAATGATTTATCTTAAGGCTCTAGAATAACTAAGGAACAACTATTTTAGAGCTAGAATGTTGTAGGTTTTTCCTTTGTAGAAAATAAAGATGTCATCAACATAGATGATGTGTGTAGGAATGGTCATTTCTTTAGTAGCCTTCATGAGAATGGTATTTCCAATGTAGGCCAGTTTGGTTAAATGTCTAATCAATACATCTTTATCAAGACAAAAGAGAAGAGGGGAGAGATGGTCTCCTTGTCTAAATCCTCTCTTACAAGGAAAGTAGCCATGCGGAGAACCATTATTGGCAACATACATTCTAGCTGAATCTAAAATATTGGCTATCAATTGGTAGAAAGTTTGGTTGAAACCATAGTTATTGAGAACATTTATGATAAATGTCAAACCAATTGTGTCAAAGGCCTTGAAGATATCAACCTTAAGAGCTAGATTTCCACCATGACTTTTTATCTAAAAGATTAGCCACTTCAGAAGCCAGACATAAGGAGTATTTGATCTTGGAAAGGGCTATGGGCCTAAAGTTTTCCATAGAGTCCATAGAAGTTGTCTTAGGAATAAGCATAATAATGTTGGCATTTAAATTAGGAAGCATCCACCCTGTCTTGAAGAATTTCCAAATTTCTTTACAAACATCATCATGAATGATGCTCCAATAGGTTTGGAAGAAGGAACCTCCAAAACCATCAGGCCCAGGAAAATTATCCTCCTTGAGACCAAATACTACAACAATGATTTCCTCAATGGAAGGGATACTAGTGAGGATCGTGTTCATGGAGTCAGTCACTGATGAGGGGATTATGCCAGTGAGATTAGAATCATGAATGTCACATGCAAAAACTAAAAATGTTAGTGAAAAAATTAACTACACGAGCAACCATCTCATCAGGGTCAGAGATTGAATTGTCACCATGCCTCAAGTTTGTGATAATGTTTCGAGCACCTCTAATATTAGCCATTTTATGAAGAAAAAAAGAGGTGTTTCTATCCCCAAATTTGTGCCATCTAGTTTAAGCTTTCTCTAACCAAAATAACTCCTCTTTGGATAAAGCTTGATCCATTTTAAACTAAGCTTTGATCTCATACTCCCTCATACTATTAGTAATGCCATAATTCTGAATTCGATCCTGGATATTGGTTAGGTTGAGGGTAGAGGATTGAACTAAATGATGGATGTCTCAAAACACCTCCTTGTTCCAATTTCTAAGATAAGTCTTAAGGGCTTGAAGCTTCTTTGTAAGAACATAGATTTACATCCCACTATATGTTGAGACCAAATTTTAGCAACTAAAGGTTTACATTGGTCATGAAGAGTCCACGTGTTGAGAAATATACCATTTGACCAGTAGAAAAATAAGCCTTTAACTAGCATGTCCACAAGAAAGTTTTGATCAATCCACTCCTAGAAATCTAAGATGGAGGTCCTGGATAGGGAATCTCTACCTCTATGCTCATGAGCCCCCATGATTGAATTAAAGTCTCCAAGTCAGAGTGTGATTATTTTGGAGAGTAGTTAGGTCATGCCACTGTGTTCTCTAATGTAGTAATAAGCATAGATGGAAATAATGCATACTTTGACATTGTCCATCTGAATAGTGAAAGCAACAAATTTCTCTGTGGTGGAAATAATTTAAGGGTACAAGTCCTTGGAGCGCATATACCAACAATTAGGAATATTGTTGAGTCTAAAGTTAGTGGCAAACATTTTGAGGTTGAGGAATTGAAGAAATTTTGGAGGAAACAATTGTAAATCCATCTACAATTATGGCAAAAAAACAAAAGCCATGCTTTTAGATTTTATCAAGATTCTTAAGGGCCAATTTGGTGAGGGAATTGGCCAGACCTCGTGCGTTCCAATAAATGCATTTCATAAGGCGTGTTTGGAATTACCAAACTGAGATTTGGTTATGTAGTTGGATCTAGTTTTGGATTTTTGTTCTTTGTCCTTTTGAAATGGTTAATTGGAATTCCAGGACCTTGAGATCAAATTCTTCATCTTTATGATCAGAGAAGTCAATTTTATGCCTCCCATCTGACATGTTTGCCCAAGATTATTTTAGGAACTTTTCATTTATGTATCTTGATTGTTACCCTCTGGCTTATTGGCTTGGGTGGAACCAACAAACTCTGACTCCTCAATGTGGAATGTTCCTTGCTAGTACTAAGGGTGTTATCCTCTTTATTACACGTGTCATCCATTTGTTTATCTAGGTTTGGCTCAGGATTCAGAGTTATTAGAGGGTCGTTATTGGGGTGAATAGGTTTAGAATTAGTCCCACTACTTTGTCAACCTTTATTGTGGTTGTTTTTTGTTAGATCCACCCCTTCAAGGTTAGTATTATTTTGGTTTGTAGGCTCAAGAAAGTCATCCTTATTAGGTTTATGCTTGTCTTTATGTTGCATATGTTGTTTACATGAATCTCCCCTATAGGTCTTTTGTCTAGCATGCTTTTCATCAAGGATTATTTTTCTTTTGCAAGTGTCTAAGATATGGCCAATATAATTACAGAAGTTACATAAATATGGAAGCTTTTCATATTCAATCTCTACAAAAAAAGGCAAAACCTATCATTTCTACCAAGATTTTATAACTCAAGTCCATTGAGAGATCCAAATCAATAAGGACTATGACAAAATAACCAGAAGCTCCATCAAAAGAGGGCTTATATGAGGTTGAATAAATGCATATATGGATACATACACTACTAGCAATCACAAAGATTATTTTAGGTCTCAATTACTCTTGAGAAAGACCATGAACTCTAATCCATATCTTGGCCGATGATTGGTTGATTATAGAAGGAACATAGTCTTTAGTCTATTGAAACAACTCAAGAACACCCGAGTTCATGAACTTATGGATCTAACCCTTCTGACACCCCAATGCAAGAGAATGAGAATTCATATAATCTTTTTTCCTATCGAAGTAACTCCCTATTTGCAATAGAGGTCCACATTTAAAAAAAAATTATGCGTAAGCTAGTGACCATTAGAGGATGTGTACCTTTGGACCAGATTATTCTACCGTGGAGATTGTGCTTGCGAATTTCAAATCCCAGTTGAGGGAGCTGGCTGAGAGGTATATTTCATACATTAGCGACCATTTCTACAAAAGATTTATTTGACTTTTTATTTTGTTAGAGTTCAACATAGATTCTAAGTGGACATTAGTGTGAGTTGGTTGGATTTTTTGTTGCAGGTTTCCAAAAACAATAAGATATCCATAAATGTCGTTGGAAGAAAGAAAAGTGGAATTAGATCTCAAACAGATTCAAATCACGGGTCATTGTATCTCTACTACGTTATCTATCACATCAACCATTTTTGTGAATCAAATAGTTTAGAGAAATAAATATTCAAAAAAAATAGTAATTAAAAAAATAATAAAATAAATGTTACAATATTTATGAAAATTACTAACATATTTAATCCAAAGAGTTACAAAATCATCAAAATTCAATAAAAAATCAATTTCGATTTTTGTATTTGTAAATACCCGTGAAAACGTGTAAGAGTGACATTTCCCAAAATAATCACGCGGACGGTTACAAGTTATGTGGCAGTAGGATATGCACAATTCTCCTTAAAGTTTAGTATTTTAACATTCCCTTTGATATAAAGATAGTGAGGTTAATGTTTGTATTGTTCGTGGTGTATCGTATTAGGTTAAAATTAAACTTTTAAACTAAACATAGCTTTCATTTTGATGTTTTCTATATGTTCTATGTGAGGATATGATTGTAATTAATAAACTATTTTCAAAACTCCTCATACAATATTTCAATAATTTTTTTCTCTTTTTTAAGTTGCACTTTACCATTTGTTCTTCTATATTTTACACTGTATGTCATGACTATGTGTCCTGTGTGCATGTTCATCTTTTGTTCTTTTGATTAGCTATTGCAAACAACTATATTAATTGAACTTTATTTATAAAATTAATTTAACTTCTATATAATCACCTTTTTTTATTATTAAAATATTGTGGCATTTACTGGAAATATGTGCCTCTTTTAATTATGGTTTTAAATATAATTTTAGTTTCTATATCAAAATCCAATTCACGATATTTTTATAAAAAAAATTCTAAACTACAAGAAAAAAATTCTAAACATAGTTCCCATATAATTCATATTTCCAAAAATGTTCAACTATTTAAGATATAGATGTATTTGCAAGATTTATTGATCAACTTAAATTATTGAGTCTTTTGCAGTTCGTGATGAGACTTTTATTATAAAAATAAAATATTGAAATTCATATTAGTTAAGTTATTTTAATAAAACTAATATAAAACAACACTGAATCAATTAATATCTCCAAATATACAAAACATGATATAAAAGTCAAATGGATAAACATGAAGCCAAACTATAGGGTGGGTGAGATGGAAGAAAATTTCATGCATATGAGTTATGAGCAATTGAAAAAATTACATAAGCAAAGTGTTAATTAATAAAATAAAAATACAAACAACAAAGAATTTAAATCCTCGAAGCAAATGATCGGGTGTAATGAGAAAAGTGGGTTAAAAAACGCCAACCTTGTGTTCTTCATAGGTTTTACAATAAAAACTTATTATCTGATATCAATAACATAGTAATAACTCAAATATAAAACGTAAATGTTCAAGATCGAGACAAAGTTGGAGTATATAAAAAAAACGGCAGTCATAATAATTTACGAAAACAGTATATATAATATATAAATAATAAATCATTTAAAAAATAAATATATATATATATATTTAAAAATGCTGATTGACATCAGATAGGCAGTCATGTTGTTGGTGACAACAGCGCACATAACAATATTCTCTCAACTCACCAATCAGTTTTTGGACTTCCACTGTCTCATACTCCAACCTTTTCTTTTCTCTCTCCATCTACTCTCAACCTCTTTATAAACCTCTTCCCATACCATTCTTTTTCCCTCACCACACTACACATTTCCTTCCCCTTTGGTATATTATATTCTGTTATCTTTCTCTCAAACACCTTATAGTCAACTCAACAACACCATGGACATGGATATGGACATGGACATGGATGCTATCCACCACCTTGAGTTCTCTGGACACGGCAGTACCCTCACGAACACCCCTACTTCTTCTGATGATGGTTATGGTTATAACTGGAACCACTGGTCTCCGATAGTTAACTGGGACAGCTTTACAGGTACCCCGGATGACTTTCACCACCTCATGGACACCATAATCGAGGACAGGACAACTGTCCTCCTCGATCAGTTCAGCCCAACCACGACCACCACAACCACAACTACCGATGAGGAAGAAGAAACAGAAACAACCACAACTACTACCACAAGCACACCAACGACAACACAAACAACACAAACAGTTGGCGATGATTTAAAAGGGCTAAAACTAGTTCACCTATTGATGGCTGGCGCGGAAGCCTTAACCGGCTCCACCAAGAGCCGCGACTTAGCTAAAGTGATATTGGTTCGGCTCAAGGAAATGGTTTCACAACACGCCAACGGCTCCAACATGGAAAGACTCGCCGCTTATTTCACCGAAGCTCTTCACGGACTACTAGAAGGCGCTGGGGGTGCGCACAACAACCACAACAACAAACATTACCTCACCACCACCGGGCCCCACGACAACCAAAACGACACACTCGCTGCTTTCCAATTACTTCAAGACATGTCTCCTTACGTCAAGTTCGGCCACTTCACAGCCAATCAGGCCATACTCGAGTCAGTGGCCCACCAACGCCGCGTCCATCTCATCGACTACGACATCATGGAAGGGGTCCAATGGGCTTCACTAATCCAAGCCCTAGCTTCCACCAACAACAGTCCACACCTCCGGATCACCGCATTATCACGAACCGGAACAGGCCGGAGATCGATCGCCACCGTGCAAGAAACTGGCCGCCGTTTAACCTCCTTCGCCGCATCTCTTGGTCAGCCGTTTTCTTTTCACCACTGCAGGTTAGACTCTGATGAAACTTTCCGTCCTTCTTCTTTGAAGCTTGTTCGAGGAGAGGCTTTGGTTTTCAACTGCATGCTCAATTTGCCTCATCTTAGTTACCGTGCACCCGACTCGGTTGCTTCGTTTTTAAACGGAGCAAAGACTTTAAACCCGAAGCTTGTGACGTTGGTGGAGGAGGAACAAGGATCTGTAGTTGGTGGATTCGTGGAGCGGTTCATGGACTCTCTTCATCATTACTCCGCAGTGTTTGATTCGTTGGAAGCGGGGTTTCCAATGCAGAATCGGGCCAGGGCTTTGGTGGAGCGAGTGTTCTTCGGGCCTCGAATTGCCGGCTCGCTGGGCCGGATATATAGAACAGGCGGAGAGGATGAGAGGACGTCGTGGGGAGAGTGGTTATCTGCGGCGGGGTTTCGAGGAGTTCCGGTAAGCTTTGCGAATCATTGCCAAGCGAAACTGCTGTTGGGACTTTTCAATGATGGGTATAAGGTGGAAGAGGTGGGTGCGGGTAGCAATAAGTTGGTGTTGGATTGGAAATCAAGGCGTTTGCTTTCTGCTTCCGTTTGGACTTGCTCTTCAGAATCTGTTTTATAGGTTGCTAATGATGATGATTAGTGCTAATCTATTTGCTAAACAGTTCAGCATTCATGGATGTGCCTTTCTAATTTCTTTGATTTACTACTGACCCTCCAAAAATAGAAAGAATATAGAATTAAAATGTGTCATGTTAATTTCCACTTATGGTAGTTTTTGATCGTTGAAGGATCTAAAATTTTGTTGACAATCTTGTGACCTATGTTTGATGGTGCGTACGCCTTGGTTTGTAAAAATTACTATATTAATTTAATTTTATAAAGTTGCTTTTAGTTTCTTTTGTATGCTGGTTTTGAACTAGAGTTTCTGTTTCTTAAAAAAAACTACTACATTATTAAAATCCAAGTAATTGCTAGATCTCCCAACAAATCACTCGAAAAACCGGAATAAAATTGATTTTAGATGAAATAAGTAAATTTATGATGAAGAAAACTTTGATTCTTACTATTTTTAACAAAAATATGATATATGTATTTAAATATGTTTTAAGAAATGAAAATAAAAAAAAATTATATATATATATATATATATATATATATATATATATATATATATATATATATATATATATATATATATATATATATATTAAAAGAAATTATTCACTTGATATATTTTCATTAGAAAATAATAAGTACACACCTAAAAATTGTATTAGATTCAAAATTGTTTGATAGAGATGCAAGAATCCAACGTCTTTTGCTATATTTAACTTTTGTCGGTATGTTTATGATATTAATTTTGATTCCAATTAAATGTATAATTAATTTAAGGTTATTTTTAATAAAAAAAATTTAAAACAAAATCTAAGAAAATTCTATTAATACCTGAATCGTCAAAAAACTTTTTATATCTTCTTGGACTCTACAAAAGAATTTCTTTAGGCCCATCACTAACATAAGAGTTTGATACCAATAAGGATACCATTATATAGCATGACATATAATGTCATGTTGGGTCAAAGAATGCTAAGAGACAATCGGAGCAAGACTTTAATGTTGGTTTTTGAGTGCGTTTAAGATGAGACTGAATAAAGTGGATTACAGATTTTTATTCTTTTATGTGATGTTCTTATTTTTTTGTTTGTGTATGAATATGAAAGTGGTAAATACAGAAAATAAAGAACACAAGATATTTATATTGGTTCCCCTCACACTTCTAGAGTACTCCAGACTCCTTACCAACATGTAAGAGATTTCACTATAGTTAAAATTATTCTACAGCCTATCCACATCCAAATGTGATGCTTACTATCTAACCTATAGGGAGAGCAAAACCTTTAACTATCCTTTAAGATTTAACCAAGTACATGAAGAACAATCCTCTTCAATGTACACACTTGTTTCCAACAATCCTGAAAATAAGGTAACAAATACAAAGTAAAAAGAGAACAATTTTCCCTTAATACTCTCTTGCTTCCAACAATTCTGGACAGCAAAGTTACACCACAATCACTTTGGAAAAATGATTAGAAACAAATTCTTGAAGTAGATATGAAAGTTGATAATCAATGTCAATAAAAGTATTAATCTCTTCTCTTTCAAGACAACAATTCAATGAATATATTACACAAGTACTCAATGCATATGATGAAACTTTTCTAATGATGTATTTGAAAATGTAAGAGTAAAAGTTTCATGCAAAATCAAAATATTAATCCATGCACTTGTTTGAAAATGAGAAATAAAATGTTGAATTGTATGTTGTGATTGTTGTTATTTGGTGTGTTTCTACTTCAGAAATATTTGAATTATATACATGTGTTGCACCCTTTCAAAATGTTCTAAATTATTGTAGAAGTGCAATAGTTCATGGACAAATGTAACAAGCAAACAACATTCAAAACAATCTTGTTTTTCAAATCCGTTTAAGCAATAACGGGTTACCAGAATGCAGTAACTGGTTACCCAGTGCAGGTAACATTAAAATATTTGAAATGCTGAAGCCTGTAACGGATTACCAGAAACCTGTATCTGGTTACTGTTGTATGAAAAGTGAAATAACCTTTTTAATGACTTGGAAGTGCAATGCTAGTGATATTAAAAGCCATGAAATATGTATGCATAATATTAGACATATTTTGAGCACTATAGTAACATACTATATTAAATTGGAGTCTTGTACCATAATGAAGATCAAATACCAAAGTCTTCTTTAGGAGTAACTTAGCATACAAGCCAAAAGTCCATTTTGAGTAGATAATTTTTCTTCTTCTTTTTGATAATGCCTTTTGCCTTGATCATGATGTTTGTAATCATCAAAATATAAACTTGTTGAAGCATGACTCTATACTTAATTGATCATACAATACCAAAATATGATTGAGACATGGAGAATCCGACATAGCCATTATCCAATATTAGGGTCATCATCAAGGCCACAGTGATTACAAATGTGGGGCTCATCCACCTCTCTATATACACATGTTTGACTTAGCATACTGTTGGCTCCTAAATTCGACACCCTTGTTTTTATTAATATCAGCCATTAAAGCTGAAGGATGATTTCGACCAGCTGGGTCTGTCGAAATGCCCATCAGAAGATGGCAATGTACTTAGAGAAATTCTTCCAAGGAAGAATTTTGTTGCCTTCGACGTCGAAGGTGCTTTTCGACGAAGGTGTTCGATTGCTCAGAGTGGAACGGTTTGAGATTCAAACGTTTGGAGGGAAAACGGTTCCCAGCGGTTACCAAGTGCAACGTGCCAAGATCTGGAGCGTCGAACGCTGTGAACGTGCCAAGTGGAGTCATCTCGAAGCAGCGTAACTGCCCGACAGTTACTTGGGATGTGTTTAGTATAAATATTAGTAGTTCACGCAGTTTTTCGCGTGTGTTCACAATTATATACAAGTCACTCATATAGATTCGAGTACCCAGCGTGAGAGAAAGAATTGTTGAGAATGTATGTGTGAAACACCACTTTAATTAATCAAAGTCATTTATTTTCCAGAAACTTTACTTGCTTTCTCCTTTACTTTTCCAGTCGAAGCCTTTATTTCAAGCCTTCCTTTATTTTATCAAGTTCTCTTCTTCATGCAATTTACATAAAGCTTCTTTATTTTCTTGTCATTTAACCATTATCAAACTTAGTCAAAACCCCAAAATCAACCATGTCTTAGGATCAATCTGATCGATCCTGCGAGTCACCAAATAAGTAACCTTTTGGAAGATCAGCGGTTGTTTACCAATTCCCACGGTAAACAAATTGGCACACCTGGTGGGACTGTGTGTTGATTTTGAAGTTTAACCTTTTTACACAGATTATCATCTTTTTCGAGAAGTATTGCATGTTATTGAGAAGTGGTAGAATATACACTAACAATACCAATACTGCCAGAAGAAGAGAAGAGATGGCGAATCCTCCAAACAATAACGAAATCCCACAAACGAATGTGGGAACAACGGTTATCCCAACCGTAAGTGAAGCGATAACCGCTGGTTCAACACCAGCAGTGACGGTCACAACCACGGGGCCATTACCTCCATTCACAGGCCCCAGAGTGCCTTTAGGAACTCCCCCACCAAGGGGAAATCTAGGCACAAGGCCTTATGTTCCCCCAGGATTTATGACAGGCGGTCAAAATCGAGAACCACTCTATGGCATGCCAACGTCTGAATTGGCTAGCCTAACGAACGCTGCGTCCACTTTTTCAGACCCTTTAGTGAGTGCCTCTTCGCCACTCCAAGGTTCTGGAGTAGGTATGGCGAACAGAAATAAGACCCAACTCTTAGGAGGAACGTCCCAAGTAGCACATGGCCTTACAAATTCCTCGACAGCAGTCTTGAGGCAACAAATGAATGAAAGCAACCATGATATGGTTCAAATGTTGGCACAAACTTTAAGTACAGTGCTGAACCCTCTAATACAAAACACCACCCAATCGAATCAGCAGATGACAGCGCAAATGACGCGTTTGGCTGATTTCTTTGGAGTACCCCAACCTATTCGACAGCCCCAAAGGGCGCAAATAAGGGGAAACCAAGGTATACTCTTAGAGGAAGAAACCACTATCAACCAAGGCCAGCAGCCTGTCGAAGAAAACCTTAGGGCACGATTGGAGCAGCCTGTCGAAGAACCTAGGGTTATAGCCCCAGAGGTAAGGTTAGTTAACAGAAACCAAAATGCTGACGAAGTAGTTCAGCATATCCAATACCAGAATATGGGTTTGGAAAATAATCTGGCAGCCATGATCGAAAGAATCATGACGCAAAATGGGATGAACATGGGCTTTCGTAGGCCCAACTTCACATCCCCACTGTCAGAATACGTGTTGCAAACAGACTTACCTCCTAGATGTAAAGTCCCTAAGTTCACTAAATTTTCCGGGGACACGACAGAGTCTACTGTCGAACATGTGGCGAGATACTTGATCGAAGCAGGAGATATTTCAAACAACGAAAACCTGAGGATTAAGTACTTCCCAAGTTCTTTAACAAAGAACGCTTTTACTTGGTTTACAACTCTCCCCCCCAATTCGATCCATCATTGGACCCAGTTGGAGAGATTGTTCCATGAGCAATTCTACATGGGACAAACCAAGATAAGCCTGAAAGAATTGGCCAGTGTAAAGAGACGTTTCACTGAACCTATAGACGAATATCTAAATAGGTTTAGGTTGCTCAAAGCAAGATGCTTTACACAAGTGCCAGAACATGAGTTAGTCGAAATAGCCGCAGGCGGTTTAGATTATTCCATTAGGAAGAAGTTAGACACTCAATACCTGAGAGACATGGCTCAATTAGCCGATAGAGTTCGACAGGTAGAACGCCTTAAAGCTGAGAAAGCCAAGGCAACGAAGACTCATAAAAGAGAGAGGATAGCGTATGTCGAGATGGATGACGAAGATCCAGAAACCTTCGACGAAACTATAACTGTCGAAGAAGGCGAGGTCGATTTAGCGGAACTAAAACAAGGGCCACCATACTCTTGCAAACTGTTAGTCCCCTCAAGTGGGAAAAATCCCACTAGTCCAGAAAGGACCAACGATAGGTTCCCCAAAAA